TGTACTTCAGTTACTGAACGGATCAAGCGACAAGTTTCCGCAACCAGATCCGGACTCCGCAACAACGAGTGCGTAGAGTGGTTCAATCAAATATTCGGACGTGAATGTCACACTGGATGACAATGTCCTCACAGACTCGTCACAACTGATTCGTCGGATCGGTTACCACCAATACGATAGGTCGTACATAAGCAAATTGAACGCCTCCTGCGTAAACAGAGAAACACGGCTGCAACGAACTGCGCTCGTATTGGATTATTTCTATGAACAACAATCTATCATCAGAAAAGGCAAATATTTGACAAGTCCCATACGAGTGGTCGGTAAGAAAAGGACAAACGCAAAATATAGGCGTCATCCGCTTAATTGAATATCGAGTTAAGCGAGTTGCTGATTATTGATAGGGTGAAATGAGAATTAAATGTAAAAATCCAGGACAATATGCAGGACGTTTACATTTGACGTATGCTGTGATAAAAATAAACTTCTTTACGCATATACCACTTCCTTCTGTCCATGTGACACATAAATGCACTGTGCATACAGCACGAAGATTTTCTACATTAGTGATTGGAACTGGGAGCGAAATGAAAAAATGCTTCGAAGATAACTGAACTAGAGGAGGAGACTACTGGGTTTTGGAGTGGGTTCCAAGATGGGCTAAGGGGAAGAGCAAAGGAATTCCGTCGACACACTAGCCTGCTATATTGCTTACGCAGTTTCGGCCGATTACCTTGGGGATTAGTGTTGTGACTAAGTTCCGGCAAATGTCAGCATACATCACTGGAGTCCCTCCCTATTTGGTACACCAATATGAAGTTCTCCCGTAGCGTTCGGTAGCGTCCACTGAAAACTCCGAGAAACTTCAAGCTATGATGCCAAGAGAGGGTGCATATCCCCTTGCCGTTCTTTATTACTCTGCACTGTGATGTTTCGGGCCACGCGGGATCGCACTTTACCTTAGCATGTTCAAAGTGGGCGAGCGAACGGTTGTGCACCATCAGGAGGATTGGTCGGTCAGAAATTCCAAATGCTCTTCGCAGCAGGCCGACGTGTTAGTCGCCTCTTTTCGCAGCTCATTGAGACTGTTTTCCATATCTGTGGTCACTCTGTACAAGTACGACAAAGTCGCGATCCTGGGAACTGGTCGGCAAGCTGAGTGCCCGGGCCTATTAAATTGGGCATGTCTATTGCGTAGTTGAACAATTCGACATTTCTCTACATTGAATGGTAGGGTATTGCGGAATGACCAGTTCGAAATTAAATCACCATAGTGCCGTAGCCCTTTGTGATCTTCCGGTCCCCTGATCGCTCACCATATCTTGGTATCATACGCGAAGAAGAGGAAATTAGAGGCAATTGCACTCGCCCAGCAACGAGCCATGTGCACGCCGTACTCGACCTGGATTGTGTTGGATACGCTATCCAAGCTTGGCAACCTTGGCTGAAGCGCGACCCAGAACCGTTAGAGGCACCACAACGAAGAACAACAAAGAACGTAAACGGCCTGGGCTATCACTCTTACCACCGAAGGCTGAAGTTGCTGGGAATTTTCAGCGGACGCTATCGAAGGTTGCGCGGTGATCTCATATTAGCGTATCAGATACTGAGTGACCTCAACCACGTATGCCACCATTTGCTGAAACTTAGCAACAACACGCAGCTCAGGGATAAATGCTTAAAATTGGAGGAACAATATAGCCGTCTAGTGTCGACGGAATTACTTTTCCCTTCGGGTTTGCCAACCTTGGAACGCACTCCCAGACTCAGTTGTATCCTCTCCTACCTTGGAAGTTTTCAAAAAACGACTAGATGTTGCTCTTAGCTCCCAGCATCTTGTTACCTAAACTCCTCTACTGTGGATTACGCCAAGTATGCTTTTCAACAGGATTTATGTATCAAATGGAACCAAGCGAGCGACCATATTATAGTTTTCTCACGTCTTACATCAACGATCATTGCACCCCAGTGTCTTTCTGAACGTTTACGCTCGACCTTTTAATTTTACACTAATGTAATTTATCAAAGTATTCATCTAGGCAGACGTTCGGTAAATGACCTAGCTATATTTTGAGTTAATCATATTCACCCCAACCATCCTACGGGACGTGTCAAGCACTTGCTTTTATCCCGTGATAAATCATTGTCCATTGACTACCTCCCATATGGGTTGGATTGATGACTCTACGCTTGCACATTGGTGCAATTTAGTTATATTTTAGACACAGCTGATAGAAAATCACCAAAGCTTCTGGTAGATCACTCGCCACTGCTTGCAGAGTCTTTGGTCATATTCTCCGACTTCAGGAGAACGTGGGGTTCGCAGGAATAACGTCTTCCTCAACATAGCTTCTATATTGAACGTGATATTGGAGAAAGCTGAGAGTGGGAAGTTGAAATTTGGAGATGGTTTGGGCTCATTACCACTTGGAACGCCTTGGAGTAACGCCGCATCAAGACATCAGTTGCTTCCAGTGCTGATCGCGTATACCTGTCAAGCGCAATAAATGCAGTGATTTCGCACTGTATCTTACGAAGGCCATTAAGGTGTCTATACTAGAGGTTGCGTTTCATGCAGAATCTTTTCGTTAGCTTCTGATGATAGCGGAACAAGTTCACACAAAAGGAACGTTGCGCTAAGTTTTTCATACCAGGATTTGACAGTGTGAGATCCTTTAGAAGTCCGCCATGTCAAAGCCCCAAAAGAAATGCGCCAACATGATTTGGCTTTGTTTTGATGAGAGAAGGATTTCTGTTCTGATGCGTGCGTGACCAGTGTGTTTAGGAGAAATGTGAACCTTCTCTCGAAGAAACTTCTGGGGCTATTCAATTAAGATGATCCAAGTTGTCTCCGTTACAGGAGCGGACAATACTAACTTGCGTTGTAATATACACTTTGTTATCCGATTCTTCAGGATATTCCGCATCGCATATATAGTCAAATAGTAGAGTAACATGGGCGTTGCGACCCAATGGCATGTTTGTAACCATTCCTTCAGCCATACATTCATTGTCGGTCAGCACAAGATAGAGTATCGACGGCCTGTTAGCAGTTCGAAATCTGGTGGGAGAAGTTATGTGGTTATATAGAGGGTAGCTGGAAATTAGCTACTGCAAACAGGCTTTAAATCGTGCACCATCTGTTGCCGACGTTTCCAAGTCGCAATGAGAATGTGGAAGTATAACTGGTTTAACGAAATATTCAACACGGAATTCATTTTGTAGCCCATTCTGACACGTTTGGTGAACGAAAGAATACGACAACGAGACATGTGTCTTTCTTTCGTAGCCATGGCAGTCGGATCTCTGGGTGGTCAATCAGCTCACATCGGAGGTTAGTTTTGGAGTATAGAATCACCACACCACAACTTCCAGCTCTGTCATTCAGAGGCTTAACCAAGTCCCCGTAACTATGATGGGGTCCCGCGGTTGAGAGGCCTGACGCTCTCTAAGTTCGACCAACTTACTAAGAAGGACTTGGGTATTAGTGCACAGCCGGGATAACCGTTTGGATTTTAAATGTGCATTGAGGGATTTCAAATTCAGATGTGGCTTTCAGACGCTAATTGTTTTTCTAGAGGAGACTGGTTCTTTACATTCAGTTGGGCAACATAGCCGCACAGATTGCTCCAGATCCCGCTCCGTCCTGTCAGTTGCCTTGGGTTATGTTGTGTCCGTCTCTCCGCAGGTGTGTGGAGACGAAGTTTTTCTTAGGCTGCAAGTTCCAGCGAGTTAGTGGCCACTCGTGACCGTGCGTCTGCTGCCTTTAGCCGAATGTCGATTGGCGGCCTAATGACCTGTCACCCAACAATAAGTTTGCCATTCCTTCAGAGTGTAGCAAAGCTTCAATAATCTCGGACTACTTGTAGTTAGGTGATGAAGGAATTCTTACCAACGATTTAGCGATAACACTGTCCTGAGCGTGCTTCTCCTGTACAACACCGCTGTTCTCGGTCATGTATTTATGTTTGGTAAGCAGGAGAATCCGGAAGCTCGGGAGCCATATGAACATATATGGTTTACTCGCTATCGCTTTAAAAAGGATCGTCTTGGTTGTCCACTTCTTCCGGGTGATGTTTTCTAGAGAGGTCGGGTAATATGCGCACCTCATTTGGTGAGCTAAAAGACCAACTTCCGAGAGTAGGACGACCTCTGTCTCGTCTGCTGAGTACAGCGTTATGCGAGGTTCAATGTAAGGTACTGAGTTTGAGTGACGCGCTACGCGCCTTTGCATAGTGGGCTCAACCCAAATCCCAATCGCACGGCAGATAGGATTCCAATAGTTATGATCAACAACAGCTTGCGCTTAGGTTGCCAGATTTGGACAAGGGAACGTTAGTGCACACAAGACGTAATGCACTGTGGTTCTCTCTAGCGAAAGCCTGTTGGAGGGTTGTTTAGGAAGCGGTACTGGACACAGTTGTGATAGCTGCGTCGCACCGCTTATGCACGGTGAAGAGGGTTCGCACATGGGACTCCTTTCGGATGCGTATGCTGCCTACTTTTTCGCTATATTGGTATGCCTCCTTCTCTAACGCAAACAACGCCAACAAAAAGCCAGTCGAATGGGTTTGGAGTCTAGTGACACCCGAGTGCCAAAAATGGCACTCCGAGTGGTCCAGCCCAATAGACGGCCAATTAAAACCACTTTTGGCCCGCCCGCTGTTATCGATTAGTGATTCGACTAGCCAAACATTCGACCGTACATTTCGGAGCTGGGCTGAGATCAAGAGTAACATAAAGATTCACGGTAGACGTATACAGTGATGGTGCTGGTCTACCCACTCGAAAAAGCAACCATGGAGTTTCGTCATTATATCGTACCACGTTAATTCCATGCTCAATTGCAAACCAGTTTTAGCCGCACCTTTCAACCTATATACTACATGGCCAGCTGCTTAAGGTCTATGGAGTACCTGATCGGAGCTATGAGTACTGAACTCATTCTCGTATGGGAAGCAGCCACGCAAATGAAAGCCCACAACCACGAAAAAGGAGATGAAAAATAGTAGGTTATCTTAAAGTATCATCAAAGCGAAAACTCAAACGAAAAAATTAGCAAATATCACGGCTGAAGTTAGAGAAAAGATCTGAGTGCCACGAAGCGTTTTCGCCGAAAAATAGGAATAATAAAAATCTGTACACTTGTCAACATACGCAAATACATGCACGGGGCCTTGTTCAACGCGCAAATATGGTAGGAGCATGAAGACGGAAGGCAATACATAGAGGCATCAGAGTAGATGTAAGCCGCACGGATTTAACAAATAACCAAACAGTTAAAAGGGCTTGTATCACAGCTGTGTACTTTGTCCCGTGCGTGTCCAACCTGCCATTCTGGGTTCTCGAGCCGGCCAAAACCAACGGATTCCCAATCGGGGGATGGTAAGTCAACGGGAGTTTGAGCGAGTGTAAGTGCGGATGAAAATTAGGCCGCCGCAGAACCGTGGCACAGTTTGGACAGTGATGGAGGGTAACATGGCTTACTGAGTCGTAGCAGGGCCAGCGATTTCCAACAGAGACGGATGCCGTTCAATGATTCGAGTAATTAGGCTGTCAATGTAGGTACGAAGTTGCTCGTTGTAGTGCTTTTCCTTAGTCCAAAGGTTCACGACCTTAAATAAGGAAGAGAATGGAAAACCTATAGATCTGTGCGGACAGTTGTACAAAGAGAAGAACAGAAAAGCAAGGCAAAGCGACGCTAAAAGACGTGACAGTGCAGTGTGCCGGACACCAACAGCGGCGATAGAGTAGCAGTTCACTTCTGGTCCAGATTGTTCGACAGTAAATACCATCCAGCTTACACAAACAATCTTGGCATAGGAGAGAAACGGTGCTGTTGGTAACGACGAGATCAAAAACAAAAGCTGAAAGTCATCCTCCTTTGAACACAACAGCAAGCAAACAAACACAGTGCGATGATTTAGGCCGTGGAAATGACAGATCCGCTTCCGAGATGACATCTCATGAACAGCGGTGTGTCCGTCTCTGATCATTGTGAATGGGTGATAAAAATAAGCGTGAATTAACTTACTGACTCTTCCGGAGGCTGCAACGGTTAAACACATCGACAAGTTGACGGAATACGTCCGGAGACGGCTACCGTGCAATCGGCTAGAAGAATCAGACTCGGATAGAGATCCGGTAAAGGGAAAAATCCACACCAAAAGAACACTGATCTGCTAAATCAACTGTAAGACTCAGTGCAATTAGAAAACAATGATTGGAGGACTGAGGTGAGAAGGAATTAACTGTATAGAAGCCCATCACGATGATAATAAAATGTATGGATAGTAAAGAGAAATCGCTCAAAATGCGAATCTGGAAATGGGTGAAAACTAATGGCACCAGTTGGTGAATGGAAGGACAGATTGTAAGAGTAAGGAGCTGAAGGCAAGGACAGTATTGGGTTGACAACAGAGCTATATTTCACAAGACATCGAAATAAGGAGGCGTCCGAGCATGGAGTTTCAATCCCGACCCCGTTTTTGAGTAACGGAACCTATGCCATTGGATAACAAATTTAGGTATTCACTCAGCCACTTACACGGATCAGCTATCAATAGCAAGAAGACGAGGAGCTCAGAGGAGATTTTTTGATGACATGACTTAAGGACGATAAAACGCAAATTACTCTTGGCAATTATTCCGTCTTAAGGTAACGCATCGGTGGCTGTTCACTGCAGAAGGAACGGTAGATCTAGAGCCACGGAGAAGATAGAGGGAGCCGATTGGGACAGACTTGGGGATGCTTTGATAACTTTCAAGATCAGTCAAGTCAAAGCTACATGAATACCTACATCTATTCGAGACCACTTGATTGTAGACGTATTCGATAAGTCATGTTTAAGCATTTGTGAAGTGCTTATCTTCAATGAGTTATTATCGCCGATGCACCAGCATATCTAGCGAACATGCCAACTTCTTTCCATAAAGACCATTGTGTTCACTCACATGCAAGAACTCAATTTTGTGAATAAGACGGAAGGTAGGCAGACGCAATCCTCCATCCTATTTTACCCGAACAGCTGTTAATTTGCGTTCTATGTAAAAGTAAGAAACATAGTCATCTGAATCAATTTTGAGTGGGTTATGTGAAACGTTTGTTGCGGATACCTCTGCAAAATTTAGCCTCCCCCCAAAAAGATAACTCTTACCTTTCACATGTAATTTTATTACAGATCGATTGTACAATATTCATTCTTATTTCACTGCCCACCATCCTCTGTTTATTTCCTCGACAACTCGTCTGATCGATGAATTAATGCGCTGACCTTGTCTCCTGTTCGCTTCATCAATCCACAAGTTTTTGGAGCATATAACGGATACAGTCTGTTGTGTCTGACCTTCCTTACTTCTGGTTGCGGCGCTCGATTACGCACCCCGTTTCGGACCAGTATGTACTAGCCATTTAGCAAAAATACATTTTCTGAAATGATATCAAGCTAAGTCAAATAAATTACGTAATTAGGAATTATCATTTCTAGATGGGAAAAGTGTGTGGGAGATTTACGAAATCGTGAGAACAGTGTACCTTGCTTCTCACTGGCACACCAAAAACAATTTGGTAAACCGCTAATAGCGGTGCTCTATCACGTGACGCTGCGATGGCACTTGAAATAGCGAATTGCAGACAATGGCAAATAACAGGCTAACGGGAGCGAAGAACACGCCCTGTTCACCAAACTATTCAAATGCAGCGGCGATGAATGGTGTATGGTGTGTTCCATAAGAGAATTCGACAGTCATGTGGCTTGCGACAATAATAACAAGGTCGCGATGAGAGTTAGTCAATTGTCGTGGGAAAATTTGGGGGGAGACGGAACGTAGAGGGTATGGTTTCGACTGATTGCATTGTGCCTCCACCTACTCAGCAAATTGGATGCAGGTGAGGCTTAAGCGAACTAAAATAGTTACCCAGGAAAAGAATGTTTTTAATCTGATCAGGTTAGTCTCGACACCATTCGTGGAGTCAAGTGTCGACAGAACAACGCCAGAAACTCCCCATTTAATGAGTAACTAAATAAATGCTAGACTCTTGGTGAAACGAGGCACACCGATGAAGGCGTGGTCAAATATGCATACAAGCATAGTTGCTTTAGAATAGTAAAATATTCCGTTTCAATGAAATGTATAACCGAAATCTTCGTAGTTCATACGAGTGAGCTTTTTGTCAGTGATAATGACTTCAGTAGCAAACGAAGTGGTACCAGAACGCTGCCCAGTTCAAGCATTTGAGGTGTGCTAAATTTCACGCTTCATATGCCCTTTAACAAAATAAATGTTTTGTACGCAACAAATGTCGACTTTTGTTTGAAGGTATTTTCTAGTGGTGGAGAACTGAAATATTTGCGATTCTGTTTGATTCCTAGTGCTGATGGTTTTTCTGAGCTTTGTAAGATGATTTGTTTCATAAAAAGTGTACAGAAAATAGACTGGCGTGCCCTAAAAGCTTTCGTCAATGTCAGAATTTCTTGACTGATGAATTGTTGTGCATTTTGAGAAGCTAGCCACTATTCAATTTTCCAAACGTTGCCCTCACCAACAATAACATTAACCGAACAATAAGGAGCTTTTCGTGAAGCGCTTGCGTCCACTATTTTTTGCCAGTTGCACATACAAGTTGGCTCACGATTGAATTCGAAGCAGATATCGATCAATTCAATAGATGGATTTCAAACGCTGCTCGCATATGATTGAAAACGGCACCTCCGCTTTTAAGTCTCCTAAAGGATGAACCCGACAGACAACTTCATTGATAGGTCACCGAGACCTATGGTTAGCACACCATAACTGCGGATTTCAATTTTCGGCATCTTGGGTACCTGGTATGTGTATGAACATAGATGCGCAGTTCTAACTCGGGCTGCAAAAAGCAACCAGTAGTAATTTCGATCAATAAGATTCTTCACTACTTTACTTGTGGTACTGCTACCAACGGTCTGTTCTGTTTGGTGCCAAATCGAATGTTAAACCAAAAGTCAAGACTAAGTAACCGATGTGTATTCTATGAAAAAGCAGTTCTATGGAAACCGTGATCCCTGATCTTCCATGTTCTGACCATAACCAATACGATCGCATTCCGCATGACTGGTTGCTTTGTTTTACCCTATTTGGCTGTTTATTCGCGTTAAGACAGGGCGCTTGTTCACTCGGTCAACACTCGCCCGAGTTTGCCTGCCATACGCATCCCACCTGTGTGGGTAGGCTGATTTCGCTTCCGACGCGAAGTCACTCCCAGCTGTCGGCACAGTCTAGTGTAGCAACGTTGTGTGTGGGTATCCGCTCTGTTTAGCCGCCTAATAAGTATCGTAAGTGAACATAAGGAAAGTGAGATGTCGTTCATCCTCGACAGCATGTCATAAGTTTAAGTCGCGGCTCCAGGTGTTTACGTTTGATGTGTCCAAAAACGAATGAGACCGGCTACGAAGCACGATGACCGGATGTAGCAAAATGTAAAATCTATTTTGCAAAAACATGCTCACTTCTGCGCCATATTTGTCGATTCGAAAATACCACAAATTATTACAAGTGCTGGCACCTGCATACATCGTGTTTGCAATGACAAATATATATAGCTATTTATATTTAAAACAAGAAGTTCCCTGTATTACTTTATTCATGAAAATCAAAAAGACCAGTTCGCGCCTTCTAGTCACTCACAAAACATGCAACCAACGGTCACAAGAGCAAGGAGATCGTAAATAGCCAAGCATTTGCGCTAACAGGGTGGGCTTAAATCCAGTGTCAGCTGTTTATGAGTGCACAGCGGCGGTAGTTCGCGATCGATAACGATGACGCAAACGCTAAGCTATTTATGGTATCTTTTACATGTGGTTGTTGCTTACTCATCATTGTTGCAGGTTTTGTGTTTGCTAACAACAAACAAAGTGGCGATGTCATCCCACAACCTACGTTTTGTGCTTTCTCTATTCGGGATATAATTAGTTAGTAAATAGGGAACGGATCTGTCAGAATATGCTGGTTAGTCCCAACACAGGGGTCCGTATATATAATAAGTAGTTTTTATCGCCGCATCTTGGAAAGATAGTTAGCTGCTTGTGACCACAAGATATTTTCGATGTTATGGGGTTTATGCTTAATGGTTGCTTAATAAGGATGAGCCTTGCATTAGGTCATAGTCGCCCATCTTCTTATTTCGTTTTGCTCCGTAGCTACGCGTCAGAACAACGCGACGAAGTACCGCAGCTACTGCAGACGATAGGTCGTGGACAACAACGTGAGGACTCTTGCACAGCAGCAGCAGCAGCAGCAGCAGCAGCAGCAGCAGAGGAAACGCCTCTGTGGTTTAGGGAGACAGCCAGACAATCCGCTTTCATGGGCACACGGCGGGAGGAAACACATTGCGTGCCATTTATGCCTGCGTAGAATGGCCAATGCTCCGGGAACCACGTAGCTAGCTCCACAACCAGAGGATGAGTGCGTCCACAGAAGGATCATTGATGACTTACGCTGCGAGGCTCGCTGAGCCACCTATAATATCAAACCTAGCGTAAGCTCCATGAACTAAATAAGTACAACATACCAGAGGAGTTGGATCCTCGGAACAATGCCTCAGGAGGATGGGGTAACGATCAAGACCCAAATAATGTGGATGAGACGAATAACAAAGAAAAACATGCATGAGATGCAGACCGTCGAATAGCCCACCACACAGCCACTCCTGACCGCAAAAGTGGTAGAGCCGTGCACACTAGGCGCGCAGTTACACTTCAGATGAACGACTATACGATGATCCGAGCACTGCATTGCGGCTGATCCAATCACCATGATTTCTGTGCTAGTGCTAAATTACAACGGTGCGGGAATACAAGTAGCAAATAGCAAAACGAGAGGTCATGGAGAAGTAGACAGAATTAATCGGTTTGAAATATTAACTGACGGCCTCAGAAGACCGAATGCAGAAACACCATGGACTTCGTGACTGTGTCAGGCGCGTGTGATCGATCCCAGGCACGTACTAGCCAGACCAAAGCTTTCAGTCACCCAATTCCACACATTTTGCCGCTGCATCAGCTGACCACTCGCGGCTTAAGCCAAGTGGGTGCAGCAACGACATCAATGCATGTCAAGGAAAGCGACCACTGGACATACACAGGAAATGACCGTGAACGATTAGCAAATACTTCACTGACACACGCCAGATGCGTTTTTCTAAACACCAATCGGTGAACTTCGCAATTGCCCACCCGGTGTTCTCACCACATGTGATCAAGGACGGGAGATCTCTTGAAAAATTCAGCGTGCACGGTGGCCGTGTTTCGGAGCAGTAAAACAGGGTCAGACAAGCCACATCGTTTCCCACCCTTCCCTTAGTTGAGTCACTGTGATTCCGTCGTGTTTATGAAACGCTTAGAGATAGGAAAGCCAACTGGGCCACACTAACACACTCAGCGCTCTGTACAGTGAGGCGACTAGCAGATGCTCTGGCTATCCAGGTAGACAAACCGATCGATGAATTCAATAATCTGGTCAGTGGCACCTCGAGCTGGTGGGGAGCCGATCTGGTTCGACAGCGTACCATGCACTGTATGATCTAAAATGCATGTCGAAGAGTGTAGCGTTCCGTGCCGTTCTACCTAGAAGCGCCTGTACAGAAACTGGATATGAGCCGATGGCATTTTGCCGTTTGCAAAAGCCTGGTAAAGACAGTTGGCCCCGGGTAAACCTTCCACTCCAGAGGATATTGACTGAGCAGTCAATTATGATCGCAGGTCGAAGAAAAATGGAGATATTCGACGATTCTGGATTAGACCCCTTGTTGTGAAGGTAACCGAAAACTCACTTCCCATTAGCCCGCACTCTACCTCGGGAGAAGCAGCTTAAAGACATCGCAAACAATGGTAGGTTTATTGACATGTTCTTTACCAGTGACCATTAACACAAACTCCTAGAATAGAGCAAAGAGAACGTTGCGTAAAACTCATCTACTTCCGTAATGGTGGGATATGGGGCAATGATGATTTACATTTGACTGTTCCAACAAGATAAAGCGCACATGCCTCCCGATGGCATCATACTTTGTGCCTAACATAGGCAAATATTGCATTACCAATCCCCCGGCAAAGATGACCAGACGCAAAAAGCAAGTAAAAGAGGTGACAAATCAGAGTAGTATGTTTTTTGTTAATATTCGCATCAGCTGACGCTAACCGTTGGACAGGCGGGCATAAAAGTACCGTCCAGCCGTCATGACAAGTTGCTACACCTGCTAGGTAGATGGAGGAAGTAGCAGTGCGTATCAATACAAACAAACCAACTGACACGTACTTCTTCCTTGGTAAGGTTGTCAATCTCTGCAGCCCAGCTCTTTTCACTCGGTCCGACCAAACTACGACCCTCCTCCAAGGACCTGGCGAACAGCTGATCTTGTGCATCTTCCAACTGTTGCCGCAGTGCTTTATTCTCAATGATGAGGCGTCGGACAATCTCTTGAGATTCATGGTATCGTGCGATCACCTCGGAGCTGGTGGAACCTGGTAAAGATGTGTTGGAGTTGATTCTACTGCGTCTTCTACCACCCATAGAGCTGTTGAGTTCTTCAAGGACCTGTAGTTGAAATCACGGAGAGAACTAGTTAAGAAAAAATGTTACGACGCGTAAGCATGACCCATGCAACAGGCGATAGCTCGTGAGTATGCTATCGTGTCATCATCTGCATGACGCCATTGCAACGAAGGTGTGTTAAAATAAAAACTTCTAACAATGTAACAGTATCACCAGAGCGATCTGAAGAACTTGCCTTCATAGTTGTGATGTGTACACAAGACGGACTTTGTCTGGAATCGGAGCAGATTAATGACCCTTAGATGGACAAGTTACGTAGTATGGCTAGCTCTCCGGTACTGTAGAAATGGCGTGATGTGTACGAAGCAGAGTCCGTAGCCATCAACAGCAATAGGTCAAGAACCGTAGACAGGAAAGTACGTTGTGAAAGATTGGAGTTTGCTCGCAACGGCACGATCAGAGCGCACACTTGCCACCAGGCGGAGGTGAGGAAAGGAGACGGAGAACATCTCGAGTGGATTTGAGAGGTAAAAGCATCACCGCAAGAGGCTCTTACAGTTAGTCCATGAACACATCCATACACTCGGAAAAAGAACAAGTGATCGCTTCCATACTGTCAAAGATGACATGAAGAAGGGACACTTTTATCTTAATGGTACTCTAAACGGTAGCAAAGTAGTGGGCACGGATGAACTGCGCGTTGTTCCAGCAGTGATCTGCTTATATTTATAAGAATATTATGAGTAGAGAGGAAAACATGCGCTGGTACATCTTCGAAAACATTTATAACCCGAGAATAATCAAAGGGGTTGTCGAGAAGGTTGGCGCTGGAAGCTGACACTGAGTGGGAGGAAGAACAGTAATTAGTTTGTATCAGCAATGAATACAAGTAATTATCATTTGGGGGAACAGCGCCGGTTTGCGCTAGAGATGACAGAAGCAAGTGAATATCCAACCATCGTCCCAGGTCAGTTCTAGAGGAAATACCGATTAAAATCTAATAGTTGAGCGAATAACAACTCAAGCAACCATCCAGGTCCATCAGAACTCTACGGTGACTGTACTAGACGGAGCAGAAGGAGGAGGAAGGTACGGGCAAGAACCGTTTACAAGAGTAGAACCGATGGAGTAGAAACGGTGGACGATGTCAAGACTACACAGACAGCATGAGACAGTGGAATTAGTTCGTAATCCGGACTGAACAAAATGGCTTCAACGTAGAATGAGTGGCATTTGTAGGAAATAACTCACATGAACGGCATGATCACGATCTCGACGAAGGACTTCCATTTCTTGGACATGAGCGTTCTCTGTGACCTTCAGCTGTTGCTGCAGTGTCTGAATTTGTTCCAGAGCCTCGACCAGTGCTTCAGAATTCATACGTCGATCCTTCGAATTAATGGAACAAAGAACACTGGATGATACGAAAAGTCGGAGAAGAAAAATCCATAAAACAGCAGCGATCAGCTTCAGTGCGAAGAGAGGGAGAGCTACGAACGTTAAGTAGACTATCTTTTGTGTCACAGTAGTCGAGGATGAAATACGGTGACTTCAGTCTCCCCTTGTCATCAATGAATTGAGTCAGTGAAGAGCATGGAATTAGGTAGTATTTAGAGATATGAACGCGAAAAGCGAAGTGAAGTAAGTAAAATGCAGGGATAACCAGAAGATGGTATAGGTGGAAATTCAGCACATCTAGACTCACTCAGACAGCCGTCACACGCCCGGAAAAGCACTATACGCGCGTTTCATCCTTTCGGGAACCGGCAGCAGTGCGCGTTTCATCGGACCCTGGTAGGGCTCGAACCCGCAACTCGACTGTTGCCAGTCCGTGGTTAAGAGCACTGAGTCACGGGGGACAGCAACGACCATCGTGAATAAGTTACTAGATGTGATATAGCGCCGCTCAGTATCCCCCGACTTACACATTACTGCAGTGCAGAGGACAGGGTAGCCTCCTCACCAAGCGACGAGCTTACCAAACTTAAGCCGCCAATTGACTTATGGCATTACAAGCAGTTTGGTCTGCGTACTGATTACAGAGGAGTAGTAGATGGAGTCGAATTTCTACCTATACCATTCAACTCCCCCTACTACTCCTCTATAACCAAAAGAACAGCCTTGGCCGAGGGAAGAACGGAGAACGTACTATGAGCAAAGGTGGTAGTTGAACAACCACTGAAGAATATCAGATGAATTTTCTAACCACTGACGCGACCGATGTCGCAAATTCATCCCCGTGGAAGAATAGGGTGCATGATTTCAGACAGGTCCTACAAATGCCCCTGATCTGTTAACACCCGATAATCATTAGCGCGCCAACAACAGTCTTATCAGGAATAGACACTTCATGAGCTAAGCGTAGAAAACGACTCCCAATTGAGCAAAACGAAGATTGGATCTTACATATACGGTGTTGTTTACAACACATCCATTAAATACATAACCAAACGTTAATTTTTGGCGTCCTGAGATCGACAACAAGTAGTCCTGGGGTAGCTCTCAAGTGGGTGATATACGAGAAATCGTAGCAGCTCAAGATGACAAGTACGTTGAACTGATGGTTCGCTAACAAAGCACCATTATAAAATGACGAGTGACGAATAAGGCGGGGAGATCTAAGTAACTACTAATTGATTATGGACTAAATAACCTACACGCTGCATACATCAAGCCGTCACAAAAAGCTAAATGTCCATCGAAGGTAAGGCGACGTTTGAGAGACAGTTTCCTTGCTCATTCAATATCCCGCGACTGAAACCATCCTTACCCGATGGACGACGTGGCACCGGAACCAATGTAAACAGGAAGCCTGGTCGGGAGATGACAACAAAAGTAGCACCTAGGCGCATGTCTTATAAGATGCTCCGTAGCGTCCCAAATCAAGTACGGATGGAACGACAAGACGGAAGACTAACACCGAGGATGCTGATCAATGACTTCATCTGTCCCTGTAAATTCATTGATGGCGCTGTCTGAACCAAAATTAATCTAAGATATGGTATAAAAAGCGACAGTCTTCCGTAATGTTGGAACATAACAAGTACCCTACCCCACCTAACTTACCTAGACTCCGTTCAACGTAGGCTAATATACATCTGTGCACCACATCAGAGTATACACGCTGATCCCAAGCGATACCAACACTGCCTCAAGAGAAACGATAGATAAAGTGCTGTACAAGGTCAAAGCCCCCATGTCTAAGAGGGGGCATCGGCAGCACCCCAGTATTTCGTGGCGGCACAGCCACCGAAAGTGGCATGCGAGCTAGGGATACCGTTAGATTTCCTACACCTACGCAGGCTCGAATCCGTAATCTGTGGATTACCGAGGCAGACACTTGAAACCGATCAGCCACTGGCCAGGCAAAGGTCCCCTGCAGAAGAGAAGAATGGCCTCTACCGTCCTTCCAGGCACATGGTCCTCAAGCCTACAAGGACTCCCTACTGACGATAGAAACGTCGTAAACCCCTTAAGAATAGTTTTAGCTTTCATAACACTGAGGTAATTTTAGCAGTAATACCCTCCTCACCCTTAATGCGGCCAGTAAGATAGGTGAAGTGATCGAGCCAAAACGGTTTCTAATGTTAAAGAGTCAAGAGTCTGTCTGCGTCGCCACGACACTTCGTACAACAAGGATACCGAGTGCATGCGTTAGGAAAAGCTGATTTCGCCGGTCAGCGACTACCAAATAGTTCTCCACATGAGTTAACGCAACCGACTTTTACCCCAAGAAGAACCTAAATACTTTCAAAGTTAGACTTTGCAAGGGAAGAACACGCCGTGGAAGAAAGCGGTAAGTGGAATAACCTTAGTGAAAGCCACTCGTAATCGAAAAGACCTTCGACAATTCCCTGTAGACCCTGATTTGATAATCTGAGGTGCACCAGTGCAGATCCGTATAATGATCAGGTAGTTACTAGGAATACCATGGGCCACGGTAAACAGCACGCTCCTGGGTGGAGAGTCGACCAGCATGCAACGTTTAGGAGCTGCATGACGTGAGAAAATCGACAGTAACGGTTGGAGTTCATGATCTATATCATTCGGTCATTGAGTTGATGGTTTGTGTCTGATCCATTTAACCGGCAGAATGTCTTCCCTCACATGAACGATATTGTTGGTTTGCAGGTCATAGGAGGGCATAGAATGATACAATCTCGCAGCAATCAACTCCTTATTGTCATGTTTATGGATACGAGAAACTCAGTGCTTTGAGATTTTGAGACGAGAGCTCCGGACAGACAAAACTGGAATCCTTTATTAATTCTTGACCCTAAAATGGAGGATTGGCAAGGAGGAAATGTACGTCCGATTGCAAACAAAACAGTCAATATTCTCAACGGTTTGGTAAAATGCTGCGTTCGTATCTACTGAGACCTACCATCCCGAGTATAAAATGGTACAAACTCCTGGTTGTGGTATGGTAGGAGAACATTTTCACAAATGATGCACCCTCCGTAGCTGGCAGAACTACCTGGTTAGCTAAACCAATCTGCCAACCACTTGGGGTGGTTGTTGGGTAGCAGTTAGAGTGGCAACTTGAACCCATGAGAACCCGTGCGAATCACATGCGGACATGAGGAATGCATTACGACAGCGGACCGGTAATCCGTATGTCCGGGGTTCGATTCCCCGTCGAGGCAGATTATTGTGTAAAGTTTAATCGTGGCTTCTACTTTCTACAATATTACACTGCTCACAAAACCACCAATAATCTAAATAGCCACTGAAGTTGTGTTTGTCTAGGGGTCCTGTCAGACCCCGTCCGTCCGTCGCACATTAGGAAGTACCACTCCTCTAGAGGGTGCGGCCACTGAGGAATTAAAGGTGAGACCCGTGTTTTCGACGAAGCGAAGTGACTGTGGCGAATAAAAAGGGAATGGTACACGGGACCTGGATTGGCCGTATAGGGGTCCGGAAAAGAGAGAATTCCTGTCACGAGGACGCAGAGTTTTGACTCGAAGGTGGATTCAAGCTCAAGAACAAAACGCTCTATATAAGCATTTTAACACTGTTACCCCTCACGTAACACGACAGTCAGTGTGGCACAGAGCGCTGAAAAATCAGCCACCGTTCTATGGACGCAGTACGCCGCGACCTTTCAATGAGACGTCCATCACTGTTATATACCTAAATCTAGAGCCCCAATTTCAACGATTATTAACATCGGTTGTACTGCCACATCTGTGCCGAAGAAACTGCCCTCAAACTCACCTATGGTTTCGCCGGTCTCGATGACATGCACTAGCAACGCTGCTCGAAGCATTAGGGCACTTCATCCAAACGTGCTTGGATGAACAAATTGTGCCTGCCACATAGAAACATGGTCTGCTCAAGTCAATTTTCAAAAGTGGCAATCGTTCGGAACCTGCAAACTAATGCCCAGTGGTTCTTCTCCTTGTGTTCTCAAAGGTAATAAAGCCAATCTTCACCGAGCCTTCAGTCGAGCATCTAGAAAACTACATCAAGGCACATGATCAGCCAGGTTTAGGTGAACACTGTTCATGCCCAACCAACCTATTGATTGCACGCAGCAGTTGGACGGAAGCGGTCGATAAAGGTGGAGTGACCGATGTCATTTAGCTCGATTTCTCCAAAGCCTTCGACGGCTCAGGTCACTGCATTCTGCTTCCCAGGCTCGGAAGCTATGAATATGGGTGGATCAGGAATTTCCTACAGCATCGGCAACTGCAGGTTAGAGTTCGACGTTCATCATCTGATCTCATTCGTGTTGAATGTGGTGTTGTATGAGGACCAGTTTCGCAGTCGCGTCCGTTTCTCGTGTTCATTGACAAGCTTATGCGTTTGAGTGCCTCGGATTTCTATTGATTCACGGATGATGCTAAGAGTTGACGGGCGGTAGCCAACCAAGATCATGATGCACTTCAAAGAGACTTGGACAGGGCGTATGGATGGTCACTCCACAAGCTGCTCCAGTGTAACTAGTCTACGTGTAAGGTCGTCCACATTCGGCACCCAAGCTTGGGTACCATGCCCTGCAAGCAGACGCGACCTTGGGTTGATATGTTCTGCTCAGAACAACCTGACAAGGCGTCAAAGACTGGAAACCTACACGTTGGCATGCTGCGGAGGGCAATTGGGCGGTTTGATCCCTCTGTCTGGTCGCAGTTGTTTAATACATACGAGCGGCCTCATGTGGAATACGCAGTCCAGACCTGGCAGCGCTGGCACAAGCAAGATCTCACAGCGCTCGAGACTCCACAGCGACGAGCCACGAAGCACGTCAAACAGTTGTTCCATCTTCCATATCGAATTATGCTTAAGGCTCTAAGATTGTATAGCGGCCGGTATCGGCGCCCACGTGACGAACTAATAAGGGCCTGCTGGATTTTGAGGAACCCCAACCACTTCTGCCGCAACCTACT